GATATTAGCAATAATATGCTGAAGGGGCATTACATTAGGTGGAAGTGCTATCAGATCATGCAAATCTGTAAACTTTCATAAAGCAACTAAAGCTGAATGGTAGATAAGCCTGCTGGCTTATCATATTAATACTATTTAAGTTTGTTATTAAGTATTAAAAGGGAAAGGCCAACCCTGCAGATGTGCCTATGAGGCAATATAATAGTTATTTAGTGGCATGACTAAATAACAATAATATTATTAGACTAATTTATGAGTGAATGGTTAGTGTACAGTCCCTGAGGACTAAGGGTTATGGTAACTATAAATAAGAGCTGAGTAATGTACTATTAGAGCTCTGTAATTATAAAGAACATGACCTTAAGTATATTACTATATGCTAGGATGATTTGAGAAGGTTAACTAATGACTGTTCAACTTCTCATGCTCTCATTGAGGCTGTGACCTGAAATAAGAATGTTTATACTCTTGAGATTACATGGGACCTGAAAGAGTTGATTAGATGAATCTAGAGTGAAGACCTAGAGGTTTGTCACTAAACAGCTGCAGTGCAGAAAGGTCTCTAAGGACAAAAGCTTTGGGTGATTGACTGAGAAAACCTCTTACACTTTAAAGGTAAACTATTCATGCTAAATGCTGAGTAATTAAAGAACTATTTAATTAGCCTATATCATGATAAGCTACTTGCAGGCTATTTTAGTAGAAATAGAACTAAAGTATTGCTAAAATAGAAGTTCCACTGGACTAATATGCAAAAAGATATTGAAGCCTATATTAAGTAATGTCTAATATGTTAAGGAACTGTAATCCTAAGATATAGGCTATATAGTAAGCTTAAAGTGCTACCATTACCTTCTTAGCCATTTAGTAAACTATTAATAGACTTTATTACAGGTCTACCCCTAATGCTATATGGTGTGAATTCAGTGGATAGTATCCTTATTATTATGGATTAATTCTCTAAATAGTTATTATTTTTCCTAGTTTCCACTAGGATAACAGCTCCGGAACTTGCCAAACTGTTCTATTATAAAGTAGAGTTATGATATAGACCCCTAGATGGAATCATATCAGATAGAGGACTTATTTTTATAAGTAAATTTTGGGGTAAACTATGTTACCTGACTAAGATTAAATAAAGGTTATCAACAGCGTTTCATGCTCAGACTGATGGCTAAATAGAATGTATGAACTAAGTGCTTGAAAGATACCTCTAATACTTTATTAATGAAGAATAAACAAACTAGGCTAATCTTCTAAAGCAAGCTGAATTTACTATTAATAGGGGAGTGAATGCCACTCTAAATAAAAGCCTCTTTGAGGTGCTACTAGGATATAATCTAGATTTCTATATATATGCTGAGGACAGCACTAAGGAAGGAGAGATCCTAGCAATAGTAACACAAGTATAGAAACTCCTAGATCTTTGAGAAAGATTAAGGGAACAATGGCGCAAGGCTAGTAAGGCCTAAGCAAAGCACTATGATAAACACCATAAAGAGTTAACTTTTAAATAGAAAGATTTAGTAGCTCTATCAATAAAGAACTTGAAGTTAAAAGTGCTAAGCCAGAAATTAGCACCTACTTTTATTAGACTGTTCTGGGTCCTGAATGCTATTGGCTCATAAGCATATTAAATTACATTACCTAGCTAATATGATTAAATCTATAATGTCTTTTATGTATCCCACCTTGAACTATGGAACTGTTTAAACCATGACTGAACACTACTAATGCCAGAACTTGAAGATGATGATGAATGGGAAGTTAAAGAAGTTAAGGACACTCAACTTATTAATAGTAAATAATATTACTTAGTGAAATGGAAGGACTGGCCTTCAGAATATAACTAGTAGGTTTATATTAATGATATGACTAATGCACAAGAAGTAATATGAAAGTACAAAACTAAGAACTACTATTATTAACTAATGCAGAGGCACCGGGACTACTTAGCTACAGCTAAGAAAATAAGATGATAACACAAGGCAACGCCGACCTAGATAGTCTCTAAGACCAACAGGAAGGACTGTCCAAGGTCCTAAAGATGAGCCTGACCCACTACAACAGTATTATCACCATAGAAGCAAATACTAGTTGCCTTGATTTCTTCCATGAAGAAGAGGAGCGCTACAGACCAAGCAACATAACCTGTATCACTAGGCATTAAGCACAATACCTTAGTAGAGTGGTATCCCACCTAATTCTCCACCATTATATTGCTGTTGGGATACTAAATGTGCGTGAGTTCGGCACAACGCCCTTCTAAGAACTTATTGTATGCGTTGTTCTGCAGAAATGTTAGGACTGAGGCAGACCTTTAACAGGGAATTAATAGGGATATGTATGGCTTAATCCTTCTTCTTACTAGTAATCCTATAAAGCTTGCAATGCAACTCCTCCATATTTTTAAAAGCATCTATAAGCCCAAGCATCGCGGCTGAAAAGCTGTTAAAGAGGGACTGATCCCAGTTATACTAGGGATCAAAGAACCCAACATACCATTTAATAATAGCACTAAGGTTGAGAGTGTTACCCATAATACCGGGCGCGACCTAAACAAAACAACATTAGAATCAAATAACATCAGTAAGGCTGAAGAAACGTACAGGTTTACAGTAAGAGTAGCAACTAATGCACTGCAGACACTTTATGGATGTGCTGCTATCTATTTTATAGTTAATCTTAAATAGTTGGCCCCCTTAGGTATTGAAGTTCTTGCTCATGGTCTGTAAACATCCTATGCACTAATATTTCTTGCAAGTGATGGTATTAGGCATGGTGATAAAAACCAATAGAAATTAAGTAGGAACACAGAAGCAAAGCAAGCAGTGCAGCAAGGATACCCTGAGATGGATATAAGCAATGAACTTAGGGAGTCTTAGACAAAAAATAACTGTAATAAAAGAGAAAATACTATGCATTCATAAAGATGTGTTAATGCAGAAGGTTGAAAGAAAGGAAAGGTAAATAAAGATATAATTATGATTAATGTATTATGGTTATCGTCCATGATGATGCTGTTCACTAACATCACCATAACGCACAATAACAAAGAGAATAATAAAACAAAGCTTCTTACACCACAATAAGGATCCTAATAAAGTGAAGACGTTGCGCACGCTTCATAACAGCGCTTCTTCTAAGAAGATATTCGTTTCACCCATCGTTATGGTGAATATTTACTCTTTTGGGAAATCCTGAAGTTATACCATTGTGGCTGAGGACAGCCACCCCAGTGGGAAGGGGTATAATTGTAATAGATTAAGCAGTGCTATGCTTCAACCCCTTATTATCATTGTTTTCAGTCTTCTGCTTTCAGGCCTCAGACTGCTTTCGTATCATCACCGCAAGCATCTAGGATATGCAGTGAAGATATATAGTGTCCCCCTTGTCTGATATTAGAGAAGACAAGGATTAGTCTTGTTACCAAGTGATCTACTACTCCTCATGCTATTCAAACCTAATATACTATCGTTCCCGATCCTTACCTAGTCAACAGGCTAATCTACCCTGCTCTGTGGATCATCCTTTACACCATCCTAAAGGGTGGGAATTGTTAGGGGTAAAAGCTTAATAAAATATATATATTTCTAGGGGATTAGGGGGCAAGACCCAGGTCACCTAACTATAAGATGGTAGGGTAAGGGCAGGAGGAAGTTATAGAGATTAATTCTTAGTCTAGAGAGTAAACCTCACTACCTACTTCTTAGAAAATTTTAATCCTACTTCTCACTATATAGATAAGGATGGCTAATTAATTAATCCATCCTATATATTAGGATGATGGATGGATTAATCAATTCATAATTAATTAATTATAGTCGGATTGTGTGACTAGCAAAGATACTCTTAGGGTGAGGATAATACTTATAACTAATAAGACTCCTGCTTAAAGGAACTTCAACTCTAGAGTAGATATGGACTCTAGAGTAGATATAAATTATAATTAATTAAGCTATACTCTATACTCTATATAGACCTAACCTTCTACTCCACCCTACTAACTTTAGTATAAGGCCTGAGGGTCTATACTTCTTATAGAGAGTCATCTTAGCAGACCCTAATAAAAAATCTTAATATATTAACTATATAGCCTTCCCCCCCTGGTTTAACCACCTTCCTAGTAAATATCCTTAAATCTAATACTGGAATGTTCTAATGGAGTAGATTCACATTATTAAATGATTTTCAATTATTAAAAAAGATAAAGATTTGATGGAGAGATAGGCAATTCCTATAGAGTCTAGGAGTAACTATGGAGTCCTGCTATAGAGTCTGGACCAGACAGGGAATAGACGTGGAAACTGTAGTCACCAGGCCCTGCAGTCAGCCCTAATTAGTATGGGCGGCCGTGCAGTCCGCGCACAACACCACTAGTAGGGGTGACTATAGTAGCAGTGGTCATAGCCCCAGCTCTCACTATAATAGTAATAGGGGTGACCACAGTAGTAGTAGTCATAGCCCTAGCTCTCACTACAATAATAATAAGGCTGATGATGATAATAATAACAGTAATAGGGGTGACTATAGTAGCAGTGGTCATAGCCCTGGCTCTTATGATGATGATAAAAAGGTTAAGGCACATGCAATCCTACTAAAGGTATACAAGAATGCTTAAGATACAGCCATTACTAACCTTAAGCAGTCAGACCTAGTATGCCCCCTATATTCTTTATTCTTACCTTATACAATATTAAGACTGAATAATTAAGATACTTAAGAGATCAAACCTCCACCCACCACCCATATGAAGAACAAAAAGGAAAATTAATATTTAGGGAGAGAGAGAGGGTAAAATAAAAGGGAAAAAAGAAGAAGAAAAAGAATAATATATAAAAATATAGGAGGGAACCGTGGAGTCTGCTAAGGTGGGACAGTCAGAACTATAGAGTCTAGAGTGGATGGAGGATGGTTATGGAGTCTGCACTGCAGAGGCACTGCAGTCGCCTGTATTTAGTATCGGAACTGTGGAGTCCGCGCACAACACCGTATCTAGGGGTATCTGAATTCCATGGCAGATCCGCATGTGTTTGTTGAACCCGGTGAATCTGTCGAGTTGGATCTACGTGCTCTGGCGGCTGGTTTTTCCGATCCATCTTTTACTGCGTCCAAGGGCAAGCTAGAAACCGTCGAGGTATCGAATGGAGTAGCCAAGTACACGTCCTTGGGGGCTGCTGGCATTAATTACTTGGAATGCCAGTATTAGTGAACACTGAAGGGAGCACATGGCAGAGGGCTGTCGGAGTCGCAATCTTCGGAGGAGCAAGCTCTACGAGTTAAGGAATCAAATATCATATAGCGGAGGCGCCAATGACCCTTTCTGTAACTATATGTTGAGCGTAAGAGTGAACAAACAATTCCTTTCCATGCAATGGCCGTATACCCAGCGGCCTCCTCCCCCTGTCTTAAATGGTATATCGGAAAAAGCTGGCATAGTCACCCTTCTCCCGCTCCAGTCTCCTCTCCTCATCAGTGTAATCCTCCGGCGCCTTTGCATATTCCCGATCACGTCGGGCGTTCTCGCGTCTCAGGTAGATATGCATGATAATGCAGAGGATTGTGCTCATTGTCAGAGTCGCAATCAGGGTGCCATGTCCGGGATAGAAGTACGGCGAGTCCTTGCTCTGGTAGATGAAGCCTGAAATCGCACCGCCTAGGTTGCCGAAACCAACGTGCATCGCGATCCCGACGCCGCGTTTCACAGAACCTCCGATGTTGTTACCGTTCCATGCCACTCCTTGAGGGACGTTTGGGTAGATGCCGGCCGCGGCGAAGAAGGTACCGGCATACTTGACTGCCTGGTTCTGGGATGCAATGAGCATGACAAAGCCGATGATGCTAGCAAGATCGTTAGTTTGTACGCAAGGGGATAATGTTGGGGGAGGACTCACGCGACGATGTTGAAACAGATCATGTAAATCCCACGTCTCTTCTGACGATCTGCCATGAACCCACCCCCAATGCAGAAGATACAAGCAACCACATAGGGCGGGACGGTCATCAGCTGGGCTGTCTCATTCGTGTAGCCCAGCGTCTTGACAATGGTTGGCAGAAATAACGAAAAGGAATAAAGTGGAGTGTAGATCCCGATGGTGATGAACATGTGCACCCAGATCTTCCAATCTTTAATCGCGTCCCAGAAGTATTGCATGCGGAACTCGTCGGCCAAGGACCCACGATCCTCTTCCAATCGCTTCTGGATGGCATGCTTTTCCTCCGCTGTGAGGAATTTTGCAGTGTCCGGATAGTCGTTCATGATGAAGAACGCAGCGATAGCTAGAGACGAGCATTAGAGTGGACACCACCGCTACATGGGGCAAGTGTTGCACATACCGATCCCGACGGTCACCAAACCCTCAAGGATGAAAATCCACGACCATCCCGCTTTGCCTCCAATGCCATCCATCTCGACGATGCCGCGAGCCAGTAGGCCCCAAAGGCACCCGCAGCGGTGGCGGCGGAAAAGAAGATGGCCATGCGCAACCCGCATTCATGACGTTTGTACCACATGGTGATACTATCCATGGTCAGCTGTGAACGAAGGTTGTGAGGCGGGAATCGTACTAGAAGGTCACACCAGGAAACAGACCACCTTCGGCAATACCCAGTGCAGCTCGAGCGGCCAGAAGCCCAGGGTAGTTCGTAACCAAACCCATTAGCGTACAACACACCCCCCAGGCCACCATGATGGTTGGGATCCAGAGCGCGGGACGGGATTTCTTCATCATGAGGTTCGATGGGATCTCGGCGGCAACGTAGAAGGGGAAGAAGATGGCGAGGGCGACCTAAGGAGTCAGTAAGAGTGGCACGGAGATAGGTGATCAGGAGACGAAATACATTGTAATCAAGGCCCGACATCCCCAGATCTTCCTCCAGACCCGCGAGGCGGGCATTGCCGATGTTTGTGCGATCTAGAAAGCTCAGCCTATTTACTGGTCTCAGTAGACTGCCCGGTATGGTTAGTGGTAGCCTCACAGATAGAGAAGGGCAAGCCATGGGATGAGGACCCAGTCGACCTTTCGGATCAGTTTCTTCGTGAACTTAGGATTCGAGGTTGATGCCAACACTTCTCCATTCTCCGATTCGGTGCTGGCACTTTCAGACAAGACCTTTTTGTCGTCCATTGTGACCAAGTGATGAAACGTGAAGTAAGCAAGAGGAAGTCCGCAACCAAAAAGTCCCCAAAAATCCCCGCTCTCCAGAGAAATAACAGCAGCAAGGGGTCTGGTTTTATACGTGCCGCAGCAGCCAACGACTGGTCTGCCACGTTAATATGCTCGTCCCCTGTCGGTGCACAACGCGCATTTCCTGTGGGATTCCCCGTTGGACCGAGTAGGATTTAGGCTCAAGGGAGCAGTAAATTCCAAAGGATTTTTCGACGGTCACAAAGAGTTAGACCGGGCGAGGGTATTTCTTGGTGTTGATATTCCCAGCCAGTGCTTCATGTCCAAGACTGCCGGGAGTAACCATATTGAGGTCGATCTCCTCGAATGAGCGCGCGCACGCCGAGATAGCATCGGTTTATGCTAATACGGCACGGATTCTGGCCGAATTGCACGTCGTTGGGCGGGACCGCGGGACTTGGCTGGTGCCGTGTCCCTATCAGCAGGGGGCTTTCGCTGCATCCAGCTGGCGGCCATTGGAGGAGTGTAACGCGGCTTGCGATATCTCAGCCGGGGGCCCTAGCACCGCCGTGCGCCGAAATCGATCATCTATCTCAACAACCTGCTGTCCCTTGGGCGGAGTGCGGGGAACCCAGGCCCAGAATCTTGGTGCTCCTTGGCGATGTTAATTGCTGAGGGCATAGGGCAGGCTGACGTGACCCCGATGGATTGACTTTCAAGTTTCCCAGAATTGAGAGGAAATCGGTATTGTCAATGGAAGTGAAGGCAATCCGAAGTCCCCTTGTCCTTGACGTGGACTGTGGCAGCTGAGAACAGGAGCGGGATCGTGCACCTCCCCTGGACGGCCGACTGACGGGGTAGAATTAGGCGAGCGTCAAAAGCACATGACACGTAGCCGGCCGTCCGTCGGCGTTGTCCGCTCTTGGCCGGGGGCTAGGGCCCTTGGCAGATCTTGGACGTCAGCCCCTAGCCCGCTATCGCTAGCATCGATGGCAACAGGTGCGCGTGGAATGACGAGTATGCCCGCAGAAGACGGACTCTGCGAGACTGTAGCTGAGTCCACGTGGAAAGTTACTTTGTGTACGTTTGGGCCTGGCTAGGTACAGTCATTTACGGAATCTCCTGGAATTCTGATTTGACCAATCAGAAGCTGAGAAGTGGCCTATTCAGGATTCAACACCTCAATTAAAATTTAACTACATTCTAGTATGTTCAAGTAGTGACATTTCTATCTATTTAATTATTAACTAGCTAGTAGCTAGAGTTAGATTTGGTGCGAGTTCGGGCGAGTTCAACCTTAGTTGGCACTGAACCACTGCGGTTTAGGGTCCAAATTCTAGAAATCGCAACCCACTTGGACCTGATCCGGGTTGGTTGCGATTTCACCGCAAAACCCGCTACTAGGCCTAGCTAGGCCCCTACTAACTAACTATGGTTAGATTCGGTTTCGCATTCGAGTTGGTTAAACTAGACTGGTCGTGGATTGGGTTTGGATGGATCCGCAAGGGGTTCAATCCAACCCATGTGGGTTATGGGTTGATCCACCACCTATCTAACCCACCCTCATATCCATGCGGGTTGGATTGCGGATAATGGATATATCCATAATACCTAGTCAGGTGACCCCTAGTATTCTAATTACCACCCATTTTTCTAGTATTCTAGCCACACCACTAGGATATCTATATATTTTATTTATTAATATAATAACTTATTATATAAATATTATATATTACCTATCCTATAAGCTGAAATATGCTTAATTAGGGGGGTATAGGGGCTTCCTAAAGTTGGGATAAAAAATGGTGCGGAGATATATATTTCTTATTACTACTGTCCTAAGTATTATTATCTAAAATATAAAATCCACCATAACTCTAATTTCTCTTAGTAAATCTAATATTTTTATTTTATATATAGATAGATATGACTATTCTCTATATATATATATAAAAATATATCCCTACCTAGGCCTAGATTAGGTTGGATAAGCTTATCAGTCCCTTAAGGCCCTAGATCACGTGCACCCAATGGGTTATCCATATCCATGTGGGTTAGATGTCATCCATCCATATCCATGCGGATTGGATCAGGGTCAACCCCTATCCAACCCAAAGTGCGGATTGGGCGGGTTGGATATGGATTTGCGGATTGGGTCAGCCAGTCTAGACAGAATAGACAGACAGACAGTAAGAATAATATTAAGACTGAATAATTAAGATACTTAAGAGATTAAACCTCCACCCACCACCCACATAAAGAACGAAAAGGAAAAATAATATTTAGGGAGAGAGAGGGTAAAATAAAAGGGAAAAAATAGAAGAAGAAAAAGAATAATACATAAAAATATAGGAGGGAACTGTGGAGTCTGCCAAGGTGGGATAATTAGGACTGTAGAGTCTAGAGTGGACAGAGGATGGTTATGGAGTCTGCACTGTAGAGGTGCTGCAGTCACCCATATTTAGTATGGGAACCATGGAGTCCGCACACAACACTGTATCTAGGCCAGCGCTAAATGATCGAAATATGATTGGTGGTCCTGAGGGTCTGGATTCTTGGCAGTAAGGCAGCAACTCCTCACTAGGTTGGATTGGGAAGGCACCACCATGCCAGTTTAATTCCTTGCGGTTTAATGGCCAGGTATCACATGATTATTAATGAGTAGAGATCACTGATAGGCTGCCGGCTCGTCAGGCCGTGGCTTAGGCTGCATCCACTCCGGCGGGGTGGGAGTGAGCCTGAGGCACGGATACGCAGGAACCTGGCCCCCTTTAACCATTAATATTGACTATCATGGAGCATCTCAGTCAGTCAATTCTGACAAGTTTTGCCTTGCTTCCAGGGTAATATTCCAAGCATTTGCTCGTATCCACTCACCTTACCCACCTTACCCACCCGTCACCCATGCTGTCTCACGCCAGAATCATTTTCCGCAAGCTCTATGGTAGTGGCAGTAGCTGTGGCAGCGAGCCCACGCCATCAGCGCCGGCCGCGACAGCAGAGAGTGAAACTGACAACCCACCCCCTCGCGCCCTCTATATCAGCAACTGGAGGCGGTCAGCCACTGAGCAATGCTACCATCGCGGTCAGCAGCACATGGAAATTATTATTGTGAATGCCAAAGGCGCAGCCGATGGCACTCATCTTTACAAAGTATGTGCCCAGTGTAATATGCTCTAAGAACCCCCAGCTGAGCTTACCCTGCATGGTTCATTAGCTACTGGGGAGAGAGAAGGATTTTTGGCCTGAGTTCAACATTATATTAGATGACTCTGGCACAGATTTCGTTTGTAATGGATACCTCTACAATGTCTACTTCACCTTGGCCAGCGGTCTGGCGCATTATTCAGCAATGCTCTCACTCTATCAGCATATCCCCCTCATCTTCACATATGATGCTTCATCAAGGGAATCATGGGATGAAATGGTCACTGCATATGAGAGCATGCGCAGCCGCTGCAAAGATGGGATCCACCCCTTTCTTGTGATAATGATTGCCGCTATGGGTGAAGGTGATGGTGAATTCCCTATGTCGCATGTAGAAGCCGAGGCGTTTGCAGCCCAGCGGGACTGTCTATTTGTCAAGGGCTCACCCACAACTGGGTGCGGCCTTTGCGATGCAGTCTGCTCACTAGTTGAGCTGGCATACGGTGCTTGTGATCAATATACTATAGATCAGAAGGATTCTCCCCAGAGGATTAAGAGGGCGAACGCAATTGCGGCATTATTCCCAGCTAGGGATGCCTAGCTCAAGACTGGCATCATCATGGATGAATGTGATACCGCCGCTGAGACGGTCAGTAAGTACAGCAAATATATTCAGTGGAATGCTGCTTTACCTGCACTTAGTTCGCTGCTGTAGTCCAGTCACCAGTCTTGCATCTCGACTTAAGATGAGCCCCTGTGTAACTACTAGATATTCTGCCATCTCCACCCACTCTTGTTCCAGGAACCCATTGAGCGGCCGGCTTCCAGCAAGCAGGATTTGAATAGTACATGGCATATTTGGCAGCGTCGTTAATCAATGAACTGAATGGTGTCTGATTGCCACCAGAAAGGCCCTCACTGTCAGTGAGGGGAATCAATCAGTTAGGGTTGATAGTAGCCAAGTCATAATACAGGTGTATGTTGGAACTCATTGGTCTTCCACTAAGCACATTAATGCTCGGAATGGGAGTTGCTTTGTGAGTCTAATCATTCTACATAATCACATGCTTATTGGCTCCGACACCGTAGTCAATTATGGCTTTCTTCAGGACCGGTAAGTCAGCCCGTCATGATAGTTACGGTGTATGAATTGAACTCACAATCAGGGTAGACTTCCCAGCTCCAGTAGCTCCAATAAACGATACTAAGCTAGGAAATTGATTTTTCCGGTCTGTGAAGGCAGATGATAAGATTATATCAGCGTAGAGGTTATTGTTAAAGCGAACTGTGCCTTCCTGGAGACTGGCACTGAACCAGAACATTAGCAGATTCTTCTTGTGTTGCTCAGAGTGGTGTGTCTCCATCTTTTGCTTTCTGAATAGACCGTCGTCAATATCCTCCATCCATACTTGATCTTGCACAGGTATCTGTTCATGCTTGACTGTTGCTCCGGCCATCGGCTCAAACAAAACCTGTTAAAGCCGGACTGCTGTCAAATCAGGACTGTTGTCAAGGCTCAGGACCCGAAGATAGACATTAACCCACGTGATAATTTTTCATATGATCTTCCTTGTCAAACCCCATACGAAAACCCAATCACTGTTATGCTGTTACAACGATCGGGATATTTAACACTAGGGAGTGCGACCACACCAGGAAGTGGGACTGTTAAATATCATGGTGGCTGTGATGTTTGATTAAAATATGGGTCTGTGTGTATTTATGTATATATATGCAGTCTACTTGCCCCTCATAATGAGAATAACAACTTTATACCTTTCAAACCTACTTTATCACCCTCACTCACATTATATCTCAATAGGGACTACACCATGAAGGCCTTACTAATATACTCCCTAGTGCACTTATACTTCCTGGTGTACTTGCACTCTCTGGTGCACCCACACTCCCTGGTGCACTCACACTTTCTAGCGCACTTGCACTTGGAATAATACTATTTCTGATGTCCGTAGTTCACATTATTTGGATGTATCTAAATATACCCTACCAGAGAAAAGGTGCCAACGGGACCTAGGCCAGCTTTTTGATTTGTCTAAGATATACCCCTCAGGAAATGACTAATGATACAAAGTCCTGTCTTAATCCCTTAATGGCCTTAAACACTACCGTTATCCCTTTGTCGGTTACAGTGTGTGTGTGTGTGTGTGTATGTGTGTGTGTGTGTGTATGTGTGTATATGTGTGTGTGTGTGTGTGTAATTCATACACTGACCCCTCGCCTTGGCGATATGCAGGTAACCACTATTCTAGATACATGATTGTAGTTCAATTATGGTGTTCCAAGCTTCCTGAGGGCGAACTTAGAGCCTTACCTAGTAGGCCGCCGATGTTCTTTAACATCTTATAAAGGGATTGCTTGTAGACTGGTCGTGGGTTGGGTTTGGATGGATCCGCAGGGGGTTCAATCCAACCCACATGGGTTTTGGGTTGATCCACCACCTATCTAACCCACCCTCATATCCATGCGGGTTGGGTTGTGGATAACCATTCTACCTATATCATACATGTGATTTTAGACTATACTACTTTTAGTAGGCGGAAAGTCCTAAGAATCTAGACTATACTACTTTTAGTAGGTAGAAAGATCTCTCTTTAAGAGAATATTATGAATATCTATTATTCTGCCAGTCATATGCACCTAATGGGTTACCCATATCCATATGGGTTGGATGCCATCCACCTATATGGATTTGGTTTAGATCAGAGTCGACCCCCATCCAACCCAAAGTGCGGATTGGGTGGGTTGGATATGGATTTGCAGATTAGGTTAGCCAGTCTAATTGCTTGCTAGTTTTAAGCCGCGGACTTCTAAAATGAATAGTAATACTATAGATTAATTAGCTTCTTGCTGTATTTACTATCTCCTAAGAGTAATATACTAGAGCAACCTGTAAGCCTTTTAGGCAATGTTATAATCTAATAAAGTTAAAGACTTATATAAACTACCCCACACTATGGAGATCTCCTTTATTAAAGATAATAGATATTATCTGTCTAGCCCAGTCTACTAGAGAAATGGCTCTAGGCATACTATCTTATTGATATTAAAATTAAGAAATTTATCTTTATTAGAAAAATAACCTAATAGGTGCTTATAGTCTGCTATAGTAAAGTCTACAGCAGAGCTGCATAATTTAATGCTGCTAGTTAGATATCTAACTAGGAATACCTTAGCCCCTAAAACCTGTCTTAGGCTAGGAAGATTACTCTTATTCTATAAATATAAATTAAGTAGCTAAATTATTTATTTAACTTCTTTTACTAGAAATTTTCTACTTTCTTATTCCACAAGCTTATCATGAACCATCTGGAGAGTTAAGGTCTGGATACTAATAAGATTAGTAAAAAATCTATTAAGGTCTTTATATACATCATTTAGTGTGATTATTCCCTTAATATCTGTTATGGTTAACTATAAATATTTAGATAGTCTATACCATATCTTATTAGCATTAGACTTATAGTATATAAGCTAGTCCTCCTTAAAATACTCCCTTAATATCATGAATAAGATGAATTAGATAATAATTTTAGAACTATAATTTACTTATTAGATCTTCTTTACCATCACTTCTTCCATCCCTGGCCATCTCTTATTAAGCTCCTAATATAAGTCTTTTGCCAGGCTATAATCTATAGAGTCTAGAGTATCCCTCAGGTACAGCTTAAGTAGGAAGTCATCAATCCTATTATTTATTACTCTTAAAATACTGTGAAATAGGCCCCTAAGATACTTTCCCTTTATTACAGCACTAACACAGCTGCACTAGTGCAGGATGGATGTGATAGGCAGAAGCCTAAGGATTAATAATTACTAGTCAATCCTGGAGTGATTAGGGCATGATCTAGAGAAATACTTAATCTAGATAAGGTCTCTACAGAAAAATAGTTTAGTAGTTACTTACTGAATAGACTGGTCATGGGTTGGGTTTGGATGGATCTGCAGGGGGTTCAATCCAACCTACATAGGTTTTGGATTAATCCACCACCTATCTAACCCACCCTCATATCCATGTGGGTTGGGTTGCAGATAACCATTCTACCCATATCATATATGTGATTTTAGACTATACTACTTTTAGTAGGCGGAAAGTCCTAAGAATCTAGACCATACTACTTTTAGTAGGTAGAAAGATCTCTCTTTGAGAGAATATCATGAATATCTATTATTCTGCTAGTCATGTGCACCTAATGGGTTACCTATATCCATATGGGTTGGATGCCATCCACCCATATGGATATGGGTTGGATCAGAGTCGACCCCCATCCAACCCAAAGTGCGGATTGGGTGGGTTGGATATGGATTTGCGGATTGGGTCAGCCAGTCTATTACTGAATATTAATGCTTATATAATAGGGTGCATCCACAAAAGAGCACCTCACATGATATGGTATACAGGTACATAATATGAACTGTATACTAGTTATAAATCTATCTACTAGTATATTACTATACCATCTACCACGACTACCCGCCGAGGAACTCTAGATATATAAGGATACTTATTTATACTATATCTAGCACTCTTAGTTTAGTTCCTTGCATTTAATAATAATATCTTACTTAAGTATAAGTTCACTAGTCTGATTTATTAGTTACTCTCTACTATTAGGTATATATACTTAATAGGCCTTGCTTCTATCTCTACTATTACTATTCTTATATTATCTTTAGATTGCCCTTAATCCTATTTAGATCATTGTATCACTGCATTATTAAGGCTACCTAGTTAGTAGGCCTCAGGCAAGTATTAGATATAGTCTAGGGACTATATCACCCTATTCCTAAAGTAGTTGACTAGCAGAGAACAGCAGAGACGGATCCCAGGGTGTGACACCCTTCATGTAATCATGATACCGTGACTTCAAAGAGTATGAAGATTGCATATATCCAGGCGCATCCCACAAGCATTCATTAGGGAACGCCCAGTTAGCATCCCCAGAAACTTTCCCAGCACATAAATCAGGCGTTGTGCCTTAAATGCTGATCTATTCTTCGCAAGACTGTGAGGTTTAGAAACGCGTTAGAAAGCAGCTGGAATTCATGAGGAACTAGTCCTATATTATCACTGAAGATCTAATCATCGCATCCTTCTTCCATATTGCTTCTTCAACCTCCTGCTAATCATCTAGATCTATTTAGCTGAGAACTTCCTCCCCTAGATAGCTATGTTAATTCAAAATTTGTTTAACAAGAGCATGGCCAGCTGAAGACCCCATCTGGTTTGCCTAAACTGACATTGCTTCTATAAAAGGATGAGAGTACTTTGGTTCTCTTGATTAACAGTATATTGGATGACAGAGAGAGGCATGTGTGGATATTGTGTATTAATAGGCTTATATCCCTATTAAATAACATGGAGCTCACAGATCTTAAGCATAAATAGTAGGTATAAGCTCCTTAGATCACGCCATCTAGATGTGCATTAGGATAGAATCAAATCGCGTAGGCAGACATTAGGGTAGTAGAATAGTTAGGATGGAAAGCGGTGATTCTAGTGGCAGAAAATGGGCTATCTAAATACTTTAGAAACCCCACTCTAGAGTGTTCTGGTTTAAAGAGATGTTATCTATGCCATACACAACCCTCACTGCCTCCGCGCCGGAGTGGGTGCGTATAGCATGGATATAGGCTTCACACCAGCACCACAAACAAAGGGCTATGCTAGCCTTATTCAAGCATGTTCTGAAAAGAGGAAAGATTGTGGCTATGCACTAATGGCAGAACACTCAGTGTTTTATATTTTATTCATTCCACTAACTAAAACTGCTAATTCTATCCTGAGTGGGTCATACCTGCCTGAAGTGCAAATGAGTGCTCCAGACTGGTAAATGTGAAGGGGATTTATATGATATAGGCCCACCACTCTACTCCTATAAAGGGGATTTATACAACACAGGCCTGTGAAGGGGATATATATAACACAGGCCCACAACTCCTGTAAAGAGAGAATACACTGCTCTGCTTTGTGCATTCCAGTTAGTAAGGACAGGAAGCCTGGACCTAACTTAAATAAGAGGGAGATGCCTGACTTATATCTCTAGCTACTCCAGTAACCCAGTAAGACTAACTATGTAGGGCTAATGCCCGGTGCTCTAACCCCATCAAACCTAGTATAATGACCGGCATCTAGTTAAGAAGAACTTCAATGGTCATCAAGTACTGGGCAAGCATACCAGCCATTATTGTCTTTGTGGGCGGTCACTTAGTACTAATGCCCAGCAGCATATAGTGACTATATGAGAGGGCAAGTCTGGATCTACTTCCCTAAATGACTATTAATAATCAGGTCTTGGCTTACTGACTAGGGCCCCTTAATCAAAGACAGGCCCACTGGGCCAGAATGGTCCGGGTGGGTAATAATACTTAACAGATAGGGTGGAGCAGTCCACAGTTATATAGATAAGTGGGTCACATTTATTGCCCTAGTCCTTAGAAGTACCTGCTCTTCTCTACACTTATCACTAACCATCCAATAGGTTACCCTGGCCATTACCCAGGAGAACTGGGTTTATCCTTTGTTTTTAATATGCTAACTAACTTCTGTGGTCATTTTCCAAGTGGAAATAAGCTGAGTGAATGTAATGATGATTAGATATTAGCATTCCATAAAAGACTGCCAGATCTCTGTT